AATAAAACCCCTCCCCTATGACATTGAAGAATACCCATCTCTTTAAAAAGCAAGTATTAAGAATAAGTAGGTTATAAAGATGAGAATGTAAAATGCCATGATGTTGGCTCCTTATCTTTCAGTGGGATTCTAATTTGACGCGAGCAGCAGGCACGGGGATGGATGTGGCAGGTTTCCCTGTGCGGGCTGTCAGAATAAGACTGAAGACGCAGCAAGTCAGCTTTTCTGTGTACAGCTGGTTCATCATCATTAGTATGTATATCCGTATTAATATCTGGGCCACTTGGCTATCAGAGAAGTAGACTGTTGCTCTCTGAAGTTCACTCCTCCAGTCAATTGCCACAGTCCGCGCACAGATGCCACACCCTAACCAATACAGATCCACTGTTTGTTCTTACTGGCTTCTTCCATAAAGGCAAAATATGCTGCTACCATTCTGCTTTAAAAACGATTCTAAAGATTTTTAATAGCATAACATGGGTGTTCAGAAACCTGCATATCAGCATCTTTCTTAAGTCCTTAGCCACATGAGGAACTGGGCAGGCTGTGGAAGTCGGAACCCTTTCTCAAAAGGGGTCCTTGAATTTTTTTTAAGTGAACTGGTTTAAAATAATTGACCAGAAGATTTGAGTTCCCATCTGGGAGTGTAGTATTATTTCTTGTGGTGTTATTAGACTGTCTTTGGAAATACAAAAGTCACGTGCATAAAAGGAGCTCCAGTGACCGGTTGCAGCATTCATCGCAAAGACCAAAGTTGCAGCAAAGATGATTAGGGGAAGGACTGAAGGAGCAAAGCCCAGTTAAGGCCAGGAATTTAGAGTATCCCTGCAGCTGACCGTCCTGCATTAGGCAACAGAGACATCCTTCCTGATAGCTCTTATGGACGCATACATATGATTTGCCCAATGTCAGTATAGAATTTCTGCTATCTGGGCTCCAAGGATATACAGTAGCTAAGCACAATAGACGTTTTGCATTTTCCCTCCCTTCCTCCCTTCCTTCCTCCCTCCCTCTATCCCTCCCTACCTCCCTCTCTTCTTTCCTTCCTTCCTTCTTTTGCCCATTCATGTTCTATTTTTCCCTCAACAAAAGGGTGATTGAGGCCATTTGAATAATAGGCTAGGCCTCAGGAGCCCATTCCTCTGATAACCTGTAAAATCAAAGGGATTTTTTCTCACCCAAACATTTTTTCTCCTTATTTCCTATTCTTGGGTTATAGAAGCAGTTCACATTTCGACACTGAAAGATCCCAGAATTCTGGACTCTATCTACCTTCATCTTGGCTGTCAAACCAGGAACTCTTTCCTGCGTCCATTGCTTAATTGTGATGCCTGAATGTCAGAGCCGGGAGTCAAGTGAACCCCTGCGCACCCTCTCTGCCCGCCTCCCCCAGGGACAGGTCTGTGTTTGGAGTTATCAGGGGGTCACCAAAGGCTCTGACACAGCTTATCAGGGGTCCTGATGGGGATAAAAATAACAGGTGAGGAGGCAGCAAAGGTGTAAATCTCAACAGTGTTTTCTAAAACAACGAGGAGGGTATTCAAATGAAGTAAAAATGTATGTGATTTTGCTGGGTTGGGACATGTGGACCCCGTACATGGTGGAAAATGTCCCCAAACCCCACAGTCCTGTGCTGAGAGGTGCCAGGCAGTGCAGAAGGGACAGGGGACAGCAAGCAGCACAGAGAACAGGTGACTGCTCTGAAGTTTGTAAACAGAAACCTCAGGTCCCCACACCCCCCTTCTCAGTGCAGCCGAGTAACTGCCCCTCCACCACCCAGAGGCTGGGAGGAGCTTTCTTCTTTAGAGAAATTGGAGCAGAAATGTTCTCCACTCATAGGCACTGGTCACGGCGGGAGGCAAGGGTCAAAGCAGCAGTGGGCACAGAAGAAACGAGTGGACACCTACAAGCGGGACCACAGGATGTTCTGCCTTCCCCACAGGCAGCCCCGCCTCTTTCCCTCAGAGATTCAGTGCGTCCCCTCTGACAACCTCTGATGGCCCAGCAGAAGGACTCGGGGCATTTGTGGGTCGTCTGGTCTCTTCTCATCTGGCTGTGGGGGGAGGAATCAGCATCAGTGTCTCCCCCTACCCTCCCCCGGCTACATGGAATCTTCTTTGCGAAACAAGGGCTGCAGAGTCTCTAAGGTGGCTTCCAGACCCTGGAGTTTACATACAAATCCAAGTTTTCTGAATAAAAAGTCAGCCTGTAAAGGTGTGGTGCATAAAGGTAAGTTGAATTTAAGCATAAGTGGAACCATTCTGTATGTATTCTCAACTGCCACCTACCAATTTAGGATTCAGTGTTCATTCCAGGCATTGACCTTCAGAACTGGAAGACAGAGACATCTTCAAAGACATTCCGCAGTTGAATGTGCCTTGACTCTTTGTTAGAACTCCCACCCTCGGAGTTCTCTAGCGGCGCCTTCAGAGGTCCGCAGAAGAGACTTCGCGAACAGATAGCTGCCCCTGAGCCCCAAGTGCAGACAGCCAAAGAGTATGAGATTTAAAATGATTTTGATTACTTGACCAAATGTGGTTACATATTTGACATGAAGATTTCATTCTTTTCTGGATATTTAAATGTTTTTTCTGAATACTCTATTAATAAAATGCAAATGCCAGATTTCCTTCCCTATTAGTTTCTTCTTTCTCCTGTCCCCTGAGGCATACCCTGAATTATGAGTTAAAAGTATTTTGATTAAGGCAAGAAGCAATTTTCACAGAAAATTCCACAAAGGTTGTCACTGAAAAAAATTTGCATTTCTGAAATCTTATGAAAACTCTTCTCCTAAAAAGTACATTTTCCAAGTAGGACAGAATGGACCTAGTTTTTAGACCTTAAATGCTTGACCGTTAATTTTTTTTCTAACTTTGTTAAAAATTAAAGAGATTGGAACCCCATGTATAATACACTGACGGGAACGAGAAACTCTTAGTTTTAGCTTTTGGGACATTTTAATTGGTACCTACCTTCCAACTATCATTATTACCTTGTGGCTATCATAACCTCATTTCATGAACGATTTTTCTGGTTCACCCTATTACCTTTTCCGATCGTATCCTATAATCCATCAGCTATTTGAAAGTCTCCTTCATTAAGTAAGACTCAATGACAAAAAAAAATGTCATTCTACGTAAGCAAACTCTCCTGTATGTGATGACTCAAATACAGTCATGCAATGGTATGTCTTGTTTTTGTAGTTTCATTTAAAATAAAAATCCTGACCCAGGCAGACGGTTAATTACAGGATTCTGTAATTAATTGTTCTGCAGAGAGAGATGCCGTAGACGTTACTTTATCAAAACGTTAGTTTCTGATCACAGTTTTTCATAGAACCTTTAAGAGCCCAAGATTCTTTTCCAAATTATAGCACAGAACTAATTCTAAGAGTTTTCATTTAGCACTTTGCTACGATTTTACTAATTCCAAGCTTTACCAGGTAATGGTGGATAATGCTAGGATTCAATTGTTTTGACTTATTTTTCCTATAGTTGTTCTTTATAGACCCTAATTTTATATATAATGCATGTTTTCCTTGAATAAGCATTTTAAAGAGTGATTTCTTTCTTCGTTTGCATGTTTATCTACACATCACTCTTCAAGTTTCCTTTGCATTGTAATACATCCCCACTATGCTTTGCGTATATGGTCGAAATTAAAATACACTGTTCCGTCTTGGCTCGCTTTTAATATTCTTCAAGAATCCTATTAAAAATCCATAACATTTATCTTATATTTAAATATATTTTTGTTAATCTTTATGTTTAGCTAAATTTAGATGGATTTTATTTTTTATTTTTGTTTATTGATGAGAAAGAGAGAGAGAGATTTGTTGTTCTATTCATTGGTTGATTCTAGTATGTGCCCCATCAGGGGATTGAACCTGTGATCTTGGCATATCAGGACTTTGATCTGACCAACTGACCTGCCCAGCCAGGGCTGATGGATTTTTAAAACATGGTTCAGAGAGTGAGGCAGACCTGAAACTTGGTCCAGTTGGGGTCACAGCTGACCTAGGAAATAGGACGTTGGTTTGTCATGTAGCATCGATAATCTAGGGCCATCACGGTGGTTTGGCTAGGGAATGGGAGAGAATAGGATGAGTTAGTAGCCCACAGTTCAAGGGTAGTTAAGAGACAAAGAAGAATGGGCCCTGTAGGGATTGCAGGGAACTACAGCAGAGACCTGGGACTTTTGCCACAATCAGCTGTGTCACCACAGGAAGGCAGGGCCGCATAGGGTCATTTATGGTAGGTGTATGAATATATGTAAGTGACCTTCATAGTTTCATAACAATCAACAAAACTCCATTTCCTGGAAACAAAATAAATTAGCATAGTTTTCTTATTTATGGTTCTTGAATGGCCCACAACTGTAGGGTTTTGGCCCCTATCACCTATGGTGTAGGAAGCAGACTGTATAGTCAGTCTGCACTTCACACCCCACTCTGCCACCCTCTTCCTGCTCCTCATTCATCTCCATCAGTAACTCTGTCTTGGCCAATGTTTACTTAGGAGAGTCATACAATTTACGTTTCATTCAGGGCAACATAATGGACATTCACGCTCCCACAGACAATGGTCAGAAATTACTGTCGGAATTTTGTTGCTGAATTGATGCGCAACAAGCAACTCCCAGGTCGAACCCTTTTGAAGACTCCACTGGATCAGGGAGAGCCTGCAATTGTCTGCAGACCAGGCCCTCACTGAGGACCAGGGAGTTCATGCCCATGAACGCGTTGATTTTTAAATTCTCTTTGGCAAGAACATCCCTTGTCCAAGCCGGATGAAGTGTGTGCTCTTAAATACCTATCACATCCGCATAAAAAAAAAACATAACATGATACTCAATATTTCTTTTACCGATATATGCTTTTCTTCATTGTATGATTATAAAAATTTTGGGTTCTTTTCCTTTGTTTTGTTGTTGTTGTTTTCATTTGCTATCCAATGCTGGTATTTCATTAGGAAGGGAAAGATTCGATCATCAGTATCTAGTGCTTTTATAATACTTTTAGCTTTATTTTTCATACTGACTTTATATTTATGGTTAATGGGTCTTTTCTGGGTTTGTAACCAAGTAAGTCTTCTCGTGATAAAAGGTGAGGAAGTGGTACAGCAGGTTCCCCAAGGTGTTGAGTGCTGGCAGGAGAGCTGAGATGGGGATTTATCACATTTGAACCGCCCAACGTGGCCGTCACTCATTTGTTCATTCAAAAATATGGATCACCTACAAGACATCAGCGAATAAAGTATAACACCAGTGTTAATTTGGTCTTTATGCCTAAAGAGCAGTGTTGGTTTGGTGTGAAGTTGGGCTTGGAGGGAGGGACGACCACAGGCAGACAGATCAGCTGAAGGACGTTTCAGTGATTTTGACGAGACGAGGGTGTCTTGAGCTAGTGTAGCATGTGGAGGGAGACTAGAAGGATGTGAGCTCCTGGGGATGTGAGCACGCAGGGTGAGTGAATGTATGATGGGGGAGGGAGGAGTCAGCAAAAACAGGCAAACAGGGGGTGCACGTGCTGAGAAATACCAGGATTTGAAGGAAAGAGGGTGGTGAGTTTATTGTTTGGATGCAACGAACAAGGACTCTGTAAGACATCCAGGCAGGGAAGCCCAGAAGCGGGCTGGAGCTGGGAGTCGGAATGCAAGAGGAAGTGTGCAGCCTGAAAGTTGGGAACATAATGTTATCAGACTTGATTAAATTATCAGGCGGAACATGTTGAATAACAAGAGAGGAAGCTCAGGACAGAGCTGAAGAAGGACAATGCTCAAGGACAGGGCCAGTCTTCTTTTCCTGTATGGTACCTGATGGTAAATACTGTACAGTTTTTCAGGCCGTACGGTCTCTGTTGTAACCACAGCATTCAATTCTGCCTCGACAGTGTGAAAACAGCCCCAGACGATATGTTAACACACGCACATGGGCTGTGCATTTTTTTAAGGAAAACTTTATTTCACAAAACAGGCCCGATTTAGTGGAAGGGCCCTATTTGAAGAGCTCCTAGTCAGGGGGATGAGAAAATGAAAAAAACAAAGCCAGAGTGGTGTAGCAGAGCCAAGGGGGCAGGGGCTTCAGAGGGGGAGAAGTCTAGAGTATTTTGACTTTTAACAAAAGAAATAAGACTTTCAGGTCAGTCTGATATTCTTTGCCTAATGGTGGACTCGAAACCAATTCCATTACATCCAAGAATAAATCAATCATTTAAGACTGTCCTTCATGCAAAACTGGAAACTTAATTATCCCTTAATTATCCATTTGGTAAAACGTTAATTTATGTAGATTATAGGATACAAGTAAAAATTGTGTTCCTTTTTTAGAAATCCTTTTTAAAAAATCTTTTGCATTTAAAAAAGACATTCACAATATCTATTTGGAGATACCTCAGATTTTAACTCAAGAGCTCACAAAGTATCCTTTTTAGGTTGTTGTCAGCTCCCGGCCATTCTTGCAAAAATGCAGAAAACAATGCACTTTGCAAGACTTTTCAGGCCATTATTCATCAGTCCTCTATGCAGAGCCCTGCAGGCTGCCCAGCTACTCTGTCTGGGGAAATCTACGCACAATGAGGTGTGCCTAGATCCAGTCCACGAGCATGAAACACCCCCAAAGTCACAAATACGTGGTTCTTTCCATATCCATGCACTGTGAGGCAAAGCCACAGAGAGCAACTTGTCCTTGGACGTCTCTGCATTAGTTTGAGCATTTTTAGGAGTTTAAGGATTTTTTTTTGAGTTATCAGTGGTTCCTCCTGTCTTGCCGTTGTCACTAATGTTTTCTTCTGTAAGTACGTATCCTTATCTCATTCCTTTTACTTCTTCCTATTTCTTTTCCTAACTAAAAAGTACTTACTGGTCTTTGAAAATACATTATTCGACTCATCTCCAGATTGCAAGGCATACGTGCTCAAGCAATTTTCACTGAGCCCCTATGCACTGCATATTTTCCGAGCCCTAACATATTAGCAATTCCAGTGACTTCACAAGAAATAATAGCTCCACTGAGTGTGTTTTCTGCCAAACTCTCCCATTTCTGTTAAACATCACTTAATTGATTTTTTTAATTTTTAATTTTGCATGTAGTATTAGATACTTAAAGCCTCATTTTCATTCCTTCCTTGATGGCCTCATATTTTCTCTCCTTGGATCCTTGTAGAGATTTATTTCTTAAACAAATAACTCAAAAAAAAATCACCACCATATGTTTTTCTTTGGGCTCAGGGAGGTTTGGTGCTTCTTATATCATCATTATGATTACTTTCACTCACTTTCCAATTTTGTTCTTATAAAATGCCAATTTTGTTCCATCATTTTAATCCCATGGCCCATTTTACTCTGCATGACTGATTATGTTTTCTGTTCTGAGATCCTAGTTCTTTAGAACTTCCAACAGACTGAAATCTAGTTTGAAATTTGAGTTTCTTTGCAGTCTCAGCTTATTTATCTCATCAGCTCCCTTTGTATCTCAGTTTTCATTCCTAATCCGTTCCTTTCCATTTCATACTTTATTTTCTGATTCTTACAGTTCAACGTTTCTAAATTTTTTTCCGACAGCATGCAATGATTTGATTTTTTTTTTATTTTTTTTAGTTTTTGGCATTCGACCTTTTAAAAGTTATCTTCCTAGGGACGGAATTGCAAGAAACATTTTCCATACTCCCCTTTGGGCATGCGGACACCCTGGGAGGTCCCTCACTGTCTAGTTGAGTGTTAACACACTGTGTCTTCAGACTGGAAGAAGCTGGATGTCCAGTTAATGTATAAAACTCCAGTTTCAGTTAGAATGAAGACTAAGCTGTTCAAACAGAGACCCTAAACCACAGTTGTGAACATAAGATAGACATCAGTGCTTCTTTCTCATTTAGCAGTCCGCCCACTAGACCACTGGGTTAGGGTTAGGGCTAGGGTTAGGTTTAGGGTTAGGGTTAGGGTTAGGGCTGGGTTAGGGCTGGGTTTCTCCATGTTTTCATCTCAGCGATTTCCTTCACTGGCAGGCCAAGGCTGAGCCATTACTGTACCATCTTTCAGGCTGAGAGAAGGGCAGAGGCAGGGAGTGAAAGTCAGTTCATTCCTTTTAAGCTTGTTCCTCGAGCATCATTTCCACTCACATCCTTGCTGACAACTTACTACATCTCAACCATCCACTGAGAGAGAAGCTAAGGTAATTTTTAGCTGCATAACAGTAAGATTAGTGAGAATTCTGTTACTGTGGAAAAAAGAGAAATGAATGTGGACAGAAAAGGGCCCCAGCCTCTAATCGTTCTACTCACAATTCTTGCTTCTCCTTTTTTTCCCTGTAAGAAGAAAGTTTTCCTAGATGATACATATCAGCTCTCCTCCTCCTTTTTGTGGGCGTGCTGCAGTGAATATTTCCCCAAGCTCTACCTCTCTGTCAACTGGCTGCCGACTGTGCATCTCAGAATAGAAAGCCTTCCTCACTTCCTGTCCCTTGCACCTCGCCCTGCTTCACTGTTGTCCCCGGCTGTTCATAAAAGGAAGGGAAGCTGACAAATGAAATTGTCATGAGCCCATTCAAAGAATCGTTGAAAAGTGTGCAGCGCAGACAATGGAACGTGGAAAATGGGAGCAAAGGGACATCGGCTGCGTTGAATGACAGTAAAATGACACAGTCCAAAGTGGCTTCAGATACTGTAAGTTAGATGGAGAGAAAAAATAGCCTCTTTTCTACTAGAGATGAAAACACATCATTGGAATCACTGGGGAAAGCAAGGAACAGGTTCGAAACATCTTAAGTTCACACTCGGACGGTGCAGAGCTTTCCCCACGCCCTACCTATCAGGCCCGCTGTCATTACTTTCCTCGACGCTGGCTGCATCGGGACCTTTCAGACATACATATTTTGTTCATGCAACTCTTGTAGCTGTGGCTAAGTAATTTATTTCCCCACAAGATGGTTTACAGAGAGGAGATTGTGTTTACCTTATCAACCTGCAGGGCCGAGAGCTGCATATTTTGAAGCAAAAAAAAAAAAATCCCAATTTCTATGTTTTCTGTTTAGAGAAATAGTCTTGAGTTTTCTGAGGTCATTGCATTACTATGCTAGGCACGGTGGGACAGACAGTGATAGATAATGTGCAATGATAAAGTTCAGGGACTAATTTTGGTTTCTGCACAAACATGCCACTGTATCTACAGTGACACGAAAGAGTTTGTTCTGTCTACAGAGTAATTTCCTATGGAGAATGTAGTACAGAAAATCCCCGAAGTACTGTTTAAAAAAAAAAAATTTTAGAGCTTTTAGGGATTAACTTTTGCATAAGGAGCAGATAACTATTCTCTAAAAGTAGCTCATCTTTTTCTTTTTGTGACAGCAGTAGATTTAATTTTGGTAATTTGCCCAAGCCATTCTTTCCAAGTTTGTTAAATATGATATACAAGTATATTTGCTGATACTGTTTATAGTTGTATATGAAGTGGCAATAATATGAAGAAACTGACTTTCCCTCATTGAAGATGGAGGGGACAACTTTCAGTACTTAATGCTCCAGCCTAGAAAAGCAAAACATGTGAAATATGTCAATCCTTCTTAATTAGATTGTTCATTAATTAATATGTTAATAAAATTCAAAGTCATGGGGTTTTCTAAGCTTAAAAATTGTACAAAAAAATTGATATGGTGACCAAAAGGCCAAGGAATTATTTTTTGAAGAACAATGATTTGGTTGATACAAAATTTTATATAAACATATATGAATAAAAACCAGCTTGATATAGTTGTAGGTATAAACAAATTGATAAAACAGAAAGAAGAGTATGAAAATACAGCCAAGCATGTATGAAAATCTATCAGGTAATGCCTATAATTTTGAAAAAAAGATTTTAGATTCCTATTTCATGCTAAGAATAAATCCCTAAAAATTCCAAGCTTTTAATTCTTCAATCAAATTTTGCTTTTGAAAATTTTCAGTGTTTGTGTAAGACTTAAAAGGCTTTATTTATTCCAAGTTTTGCTATATTATTTTCTATTTTCTATATTTTTATACTTTTTCAAATGTTTATTTCTTCTTTATGAATAGTGAACCAAAATTTTAAAAATGAGATCATAAACTTAAAAAAACTAACATGGAAAAAGCAGATGCACACACATTTACAGAAAAGAATGTTTGCCAGCATTGCTCGAATACAGTTTATAAAACAAAAGGTAAATTTTAAAAATATGTAGCTCTAATTTATAATATTTTATTTATTCAATTTAAATTATTTTCTACTAATTCCATGTTCAAATTCTAGATTTCATTCTTTTTTCTTCTTACAAATAAATGACTACAAAATTGGATCAAATTCCTTTTGACTTTCTACCCTGATCATTATGTTGAGTATCCTTCTCCTACTGAAATGTACAAAAACAAATATTGTATATGTTTAAATGTACAGTTTGAAAAGTTTTAACATGTTCATATAGCAATGAAATCACTGCCACACTCAAGGTAGTGAGTATATTCATCACCCCAAAAAGTTTTCTTAAACTTTTATAATCCCTCCCTCCCATCCCATAATCCCCAGGTAACCACAGCCTGCTTTTTGTTATCAGAAATTAATTTGCATTCTGTAGAATTTTAAATAAATAGCATCATATGCTATGTACTTCTGTATATGTGTCTGGCTTCTGCCACTTGGCATACTTATTTTAAGATGCAACCATGTTTTTACACATACAGTTTATTCTTTTCTATCGCTAAACAGTATTCCCTTGTATGGATACAGTATTTGCTTTTCCATGTACTGGTGGGTGGACACACAGGCTGTTTCCAGTTTGGGGATATCGAGGTTCACTGGGCAATTACCTAAGAGAGGAAGGGATAGGTCACATGGCAGGTGTGTGGTTTAACTTCAGAAAACTTCCAAAGCTTTCCCCAAAGTGGTCACACCATGTAATACTCCTCCCTGTAGCCTGTGACAGTTCAGTTCACCTGTGACCTCACCAAAACTTGAAAAAGTCAATGTTGCTAAGTTTAAATGTCCTAATAGGTATACAGTGGCAGCTCACTGCAGTTTTAATTTGCATTTCTTCAATGTCTACTGATGTGGAGAATCTTTTCTCTGTTGTTATTTGTCTTCTGTATCTCTTCTCATGAAGTATCTATTCTTTTGTCTGTACCCCTGTTGGGCTGTTTTCTTATTCTTGAGTTTTGAGAGTCCTTTAGGTCTGCTTCTTTATCAGATATATAACTTGCAAATGTTTCACAGACTCTGCTTAGCAATGTCTTTTGAAGAGCAGAAGATTTCCACTTTGACGGTGTCTAACATGAATCTGTTCATTTATGGATTGTGACATTTTGCCTGATCTAAGTAAATAAACCATTCTGCCAGGTTTTCTTCTAACATTTTAGAATTTTTTTATATTTAGGCATAAAACTCATTTTCAACTAATTTTTGTATTTGATGTGAACTAGTGAATAAAATTCCTTTTTTAACCTTTAAACATGGAAACACAGTTTTTCTACCACCATTTATTGGAGAGACTATCCTTGACTCTCTAAACTGCCTTCACAAGTTTCCCAGAATTAGTAGTTTGTTTGTGTGTGTGCAAACACAGCATTGTCCTCGTTCAAACTAATTTGGTTATTCTTGGCTATTCTTTCGCTATTCTGGGTCATTGGTATTTTATTATGAACTTAGAACTACTTTGCCAGTTTCTCCTCAAAGAAAACCTGATATTTCTAGTAGGATTACATCACATAAGAAATCAGCAAGGGGAGCACTGAGCACATCCATATGGAGTGTTCTAAGCCACAGAAAAGGCCTATCCACCTCGTTAAGCCGCCTTTGTTTTCTCTCTGCCGACTTTTGCAGGTGCCAAGAGGTGGGTCTCACACACCATTTTTCAGACTTTTTCCTTTGGATTTCAGATTTTGGGGTGCTAGGCAAATGATACTTTTTAAAGTCTCAACTCCAATCGTTGGTGCTAGTGAATAGAAATAAAATTAACTTTTATATGTCCATCTTGCATCCTGTAGTCTTGCTAAACACACATGTCAATTTTATTAGCTTTTCTCACGGATTTCTCAGACTTCTGCCCATAGGTTCATGTAACTTACGAGCGAAGGCAGCCTTACTTCCTTCCATGAGGACGCCTCATTTCTTTACCTGCCTTTGTGCCCTGGCCCGGCCTCCCATATGATAGGAAAGTCTACTGTTCATGTATGTATTTGAGGGTTTTATTGTTTTTAAGGTGGAAGGGCAAAACCTGTGGCCATTACTTTTTCTCCAGCAGAAATAGAAATGAATACTATATATTTTCCCCATCAATTACTTCCATCTGACCTGTTTCTTTATATTTAATATGTATCTCCTGTGAATAGCATATTATTGGGTCATTTATCTATTTTGACAGCCTTTCTCTTTCAATTGGATTATTTTACCATTAATCATTTAAGTTACTGATACATTTCTGTTGTCATCTATAATTTCACCCTCTTCTCTATTTGTATCCTTTGTTCATATTTCCCCCACCCTCTCCCCTTTCCTTATTTTGACTTATTTAAAAACTTGTAGAGTTCTATTTCTAGTTACTTTTGGATTTTAGCTATAAGACTTTACCATTTTGGTTTCTTAATGACTACTTTATCAGTGTTTTCTTATTGTTTACTAATCTAGTAATCTTGATATAAACTGTGGAATAATCACTTTTCCTTGATCTTTGATTAATGCTTGATTAAAATGGAACTGATTTAATAAGTAATCTTATTTATAATGTTGAATACTTAAGTTGACTTATAACATTAAAAATTACATTACAGATTTAATCATTTTAATTTTCTTTACAAGTATTTCAAATGCCAAAAGGTCTAGTTTATAATCCTTACAAGGAAACTACATAAACATCTAGGCAAATCTTTTAAATGGAATAGACCAAACCTAGGGCGTTACATTCCAAGTGTTCTAATACCACTTATAGTATCATACATTGCCTTTCCTCTTTCAACATCAAATAAGAAATGTGAAGTCATTTCCATGTTTCAAGTAAGAGTCGCAAGTCCAGTCTCTCAAATGCCTTAACATGCCAGCTTGTTCTAATACTGTGTGTAAATGCCCATATATTATCCGTGGGAATGTTTGCATTATGGATTCGATATGCTGTTTCATCTTTGTATGTAAGCTTCTATCTTTCCAGGATTGGAATGTTTCTAACTCAGCCATCTCAACTGGATGAAGGGTGGGTTAAAGGGTAGAGTTGGTATATAACTGACTGTTAGGCACAGATTTTATTTCAGGATATAGGATATGGAGATCATTTCATTTAGGATGATCCAACCTAGCCAGCAATGTATATGGTGACTCTTGTTTTCTCAACAACTGCTGAGTAAACAGGTGAATCCTACACCTGGAGCGGGTTTTGCTGCCTTTCCTGGTTACTGTTTAAAACTGCAAGGCTTGATTGAATTCAGTTGATCTCTTTACATGTTGTTGAAATTTAATGGCACCATATTTTTGACATATTATTTTTTAATGCCACTCCATTTCAATTTTCCATTTCTATTCTGCATCCCCATTGC